GGGAGTGTAGAGAACACTGATGTGGGCCCCACAGCTACGGTCCCACTGTGTTCGTAGGGTAGAAGGTGTTCTAGTCTTTCTAGGGTTAGCTGGTGGTCAATTAGTTATTTCAGTCTTATTTTGTTCTATTTGTTATGTAAATACAAAGGGCAGATCTGTCCTTTCCATGTAATGAGCATAACCTATAAATACTAAATAAAGTGGTAGCGGCAGAATATTAAGTTTTTGTTCCTCCTTTCAACTCTTGTGTTCTACTGCTTTCTCTTCTCTCTTTCTCCTCTCTTCTCTATACTTTTTCTTCTATTTTCGAACCTGAATTCAAGACTGATAGCAGTCCTGAACGTCTACTTTTTACATGAATGCTAAATAAGTACATCTATTATGTTGTGTCAATATTATCACTGTAAGTACATTATTCTTCTCGTTAAAAAACATGTTCAATGCTTCAGGTCTATCAAGCAAGTGGAAGAGAGACAAGAGAAAGCGAAACAGAATGAAAGCATGAATGCTTGTTTTTACATTTATGTATGTGACCCAATCGCTCTATTTTGTAATCAATGAGTTAGAATGTCATTAAAAAACAATTAGTTAGGAAATAAATAATTTACTATTAGTTGTCTAACAAACAAAGATTTGGATGAGAAACAAGGAGGAATGTGGATAAACCAACAGGGTTACAAGACAGAAGAAAACAGAGCAATCAAAGTACCAAACATGTTCATTTACTATTCTGTCAAAAAATTTGTATACAGGAATTACTGCAGACAATTAAAAGAGAATGAAATGGGTACGGATAGGTACAGTAATGAGTTAAGCATTGTTTATTTAAGATTAAGAGCAATGGTTTACCTTCAACAATAATTCTGGAGAATAATTACCTGTTTCCGGAGTCCATGCCTCAAGATTCAGTGCTTTAAACCTTCCAATAGCCACTTTGAATCTTGGGTTATGAGTTCTGATAAGAAGTAACTGGGTGCACTAAGTACCAAATAGGGAAGGGTATTGGTGAATAGAGAGGGTCTCAAGGAAGGGGAGTGAGACTACTGAAGGGTAAAGAAAATATACAGATTAGGCAGTAGAGGGAAGCAAGCTACAAGCAACCAAACAAGAGAGAGAGAAAGAGAGAGAGAGGGAGATCTTAAATAAAATCCCTTTTTAATTTTTCATTTCAAGACTCAAAAAGTGTAGATGGAGTTTGGTTATCTTTCTATTTCCATGTACATGTATTTCTTCCTCATTGGGAGAACATCTTGAGTGGGGAGTGGAATAGAAAATCCATACCCTATTAAGGGGACTTTAGAGAGTGTGAGTTGTTCTCTAATAATTTCTGTTATTCACTTACTGGGAGCATTGTTGTCGTGTTGTACTATTTGATCTAAAAAGTATATAAATGATTAGAATGGGTCACTCGCCCTACGACTTCTTTCTCCTGCTGAATTTATCACACACACACACACACACACACACACATATTCTTAACCCTGAAAACTCTCCACTAATTGATTTTCAAGAAATTTGGCATTATCTTTATTGCATACTTTTCTATTCTTGTCGTGCTATTTCCTTCATTTTCTGGTTTGGTTAGACATAGTTGAATGTGCTGAACCAGGACAAAAAACCTTCGTGAATTTTGGCAAGAAATTCAAATCATGCTTAGTCACAATATCAAAAAATTCTGACAACACCAGATTTGATTTTTTTTTTTGATAAATAACATCAATTCCATTAAAATAATGAATAGATACAAGAAGATCCCCTTAGAGGCGTGAGGAGCAGCCTCTCCAAACAACAAATACACAAACTACAACAGAGAAAACATGAATGCTGAAATTAAAACAATAGTTACAATTGTRCCCAGAACAATGTTTCCCTATTTATCCCTTGTTTTGCCAAGACATCAGCAAAAGCATTAGCTGATCTCCCAACCCATTGTACTGTTATAGACATATTTCTTGTCAGCCATTTGAATTTCTTTAACTCAATTT